AAAAAAAAAAAAAGAAACTGTACTGCAAGTGGCCTGCTACAGTTCTTTACTAGACTCTTAGGGACTCCATGTCAAGTGGATTCATTTTCCAGGTAGAAAGGTTCATTTTAGCTGCCAGCTCCACAAGCTCCATCTAGACTCTGAAGGTCAAGCAGTATTCCTTGTGGTTTCTGTATTGTTACTAGCAACCCTGATTCAATCAAGGTGTATCATATGAGTACAAGCAATGTTCAGTGGAAGCGTCTGCTGGCTTCCAGGTAGAAAAAAAAACAAACAAACTAATTAAGCTAAATTTTGGACTCAGAAACCCACAAATAAAGAATGGCCTTAAGATGCCACAGCTCCCCTCCCTCCACGAGCTCCAAACTCCTATCACCTGTGGAACTGCATTTAGGCCCCAATTTTAGAAAATACTTAAGAATGCATTTAAAACTTCAAGCACTTGAGTACAATTATTCAAGAGCTCAGTGTCACACGTGTATTACCACGAGCCAGCTCAGGGCCTTAACCAAGAACAAGTTTTTACAGGCCATGCAAAACACGAGTGCCAAGAACAGACTAATTGTACAGAGAAACCAAATTTGGTGCTAGAAGCTCTATACAAGCAGGCTCTCTGCTGCAACAAACAGCAGCTACTAGCAGCAGGGAGAAGTAAAGGGATGGAAATAAGACCAAGCAATTACATTATGAGAGAATCCATCAAAGCCAGAAGAGAATATGGGGGACTATGAAGTAAAGTGGTGATGATAAAGAGATGGAACTTACTCTGCAGTATATAGTCAGCAAGTGAAACATGCTCTTATGTTTGTCCAATACAATAAAGGGGAAAAGAGGAACTAAGGGTCCGTTCTACAAATGTTTACTGCTTGGCTTAGTGCTAAACAGTGGGTGAAAGTTGCTCCTGAGCAGAAGGCTGGCTCTAACAGACCAGAGCATGGCAGAAGCACTTCCAGGAAAGAGAGTGGCCCTTCACAGCTAAGTGCCAACCCTCTACATAACGGGTGAAGGTCACCCTACCACAAGCTGTGCCAGTACCACAAACTCTTGCGTGTATTTTTAGTGGCTCGGAAGAACACCACTACAGGGCAGAAGTTGAGCAGCTCTGCAATGCTCCCGGACTCTAAATGGAGAAAATAAAGATCTGGAAGTCTTGCACAAAAAAAGAAATCCATGTTAACACCTTCACACTAAACTCATCTAGACCAGTGGTCAGCAACATGGTGGCAGCAGGCTGGAATGGCCCAACTTGGGTCCCACACAGCCACCACTGCTTGGCCCCATCCCCACCATGGAAAAAGCACTCAGCAGTGGTTTGGCAAGAGCCCCCACTGCTGAATACCACAGAAGCCTCAGCAATATGAGACATTCAGCAGCACACAGGCTATATATTGCCAGCACCTGATCTAGAAAAGACAGATGGTAGATCAAAAGCCTACAATTTTGGTGTACTTTAATAAACTGCTTATCATCATCACCACCACCACACTACCTTCAGTAATACCCGAAGGCCCCAATCAGGCTCAATTCTCCACTGTGCTAGGTACTGTACAGAGAGGAAGACAGTCTATGCTCCAAAGAGCTGGAGCTGACAAACAACAATACTTTCCTGATTTCACCAGCTGCAATGATGAATTTTCCTAGACAAATTTCAAGGGGAGGGGAAAAACCCCTAAGCATCATTTTCAACAGAATCAAAACTTTCTTTTCCGTTAGAGACATTCCACAGCCTCCAACAGAAACACACAAATAGGCTTTAGACAGTACGTCCTCCTTCCTGAATCTGCAAGGCAGGCCGCCTGAATCTGCCAGCCTATTCTTCTTCACAGCCCAAGCAGCCAGGCTGAATGCTGGACTTCTCTCCTGCCCTTCCTTCCCAGTCCAGGCTACAGTCTGGCTACTATTCTGGCCTCATGGTTGGACTAGGCTTTGAGGCACTTGCACCCTTCCTGTGAGGGAGAATTTCAGTTGCAGATCCACCAAACCTATCCTCAAATCCCAGTGTACTTTTATGGCAGAGCTCCCATGGTGCTGGACTTTGCAATAGGAGATGATGCACATTCCAGCAGATGCTCACCCAAATCTCTCCCCACCTCCACCCCTTCCCCATGAAGCACACTGGTGCTCTGCAAGAGGATGTGCAGGAGAGGCAGTTAAGGGAAGTGTAGCTCAAAACTACTTCTCTGTTCTTTCACAAATAACTTTTCAGTAATACTTAGCTAGTGGTAGGACTGGGTCACTTCTGGCAAACATGAGAGGAAACTCTGGTTATTCGGAATCAGAGTGGGAAACCAGATAGGGTAGAGGTACAAAAAGGTGTCAAGAACTCTTCTCTACCTTGTCATGAGAGGGGAAATGGTGGAGAGAGTGAACACAATATACAGCCAAGTCAGGTTAACATCTCCTTTTATCCTAGGGTACAAGCTGGTGGGGAAGGGTACAGAGACTCCTGGCACTGGGGACAGGATGGGGGCCGGGGTTTGTAAGCAGCCATGCAGGATATCTGTTTTAATTCGTTAGTGTACAATATGACCCTTCAACAAGACTCGTGAGAGTACTGTATTTAACAAGTCTTTTGAGACTGTCAGTGCATTCACTTGGGAGATTTTAAACTAACTGACAATTTTTAGATTTTGTTTATGGCAACTCAATATTTAGCCTGCAGTTTGGTGCTTTACTTTAGAAAGCATGATACTTGCTGCTAACATCTTCACCAGTGGTGCAAAAGAAACAACACCTGCCTTTACCTCTATAGAAGGAGGCCAGTGCACAGATGTGGAAAGGGTGTTCACATATGAATGTTTCTAACCTGGGTTCTCAGAGAGAGGAGCCACAGGGGGATGGCCACAAATCATCAGTCATTTCAACAATGTTTGGACATTCTGCACTGGATTCTCGCTCCCATTCTCCCAGGAGCCGCTTTTCAACACAAAGCTTCCAAGAGAAGGAAAAACTAGAAGCATCTGTTTCCCATTTGATGAATGGTCAGTGACAGCATACATCATTCCTGAATGGATAAGAATTACTGGAGAAAACACCAGCAAAACAGATCGCTCTGACAAATGTCAAACAGCAGTGTTATAAATGGAAGGCATCAGTACAGTCACACATTTAATCCCAATCAGTTGCCATTTGACCATTATACACTAAAACAGACTGTCAGCTGATGAGTTTAATAGCCAAAAGAGATCATACTTAAGCTTAGGAGCACTTATGGATACTGCTGTCACACAGTTCTGTCTGCATGTCTGTTCAAAAGTATAATTATGTGCCTTGTCCTTGAATCACTGCTGACATCAAGTCAGAGTTCAGCATGCTTGAAAGGACTTGTTTAAAGTTTTGCAACTTCAGATGCCAACAAAAGTAGCAGCAGGGCTGGAGAAGGGTTAACCCTTAATCATAAATTTAAATAGATATCTATTGGAACAGATGCACAGCAGGTGAAAATGAGTGTAGCACTCCTGAAGTTAAAGGAACTATGCCAGCTTTCAGCAGTTGAGGCCAAATGCAAGTCTACTTTCAATTCTTGTTTAGCAAGAACTCTGACATACTCCAAAACTCTGCATCCAGACTGGGAAAGGGTGGAGGGGAAAATGACAGAGGCAGCAAAGCCTTTTCAGAAGGTTAGCGTCATCTGAAGTACTAGCAGGAAGCAGTGCCTCTTCAGAAGACGTGGGGTCAGGCAGTGAGCAATGGCAGGGTGGGAAGGGCTGGGCACAATACAGCATGCATCAACCCTGCTTGAGAGCAATTTTCTCCTTTAAATTTACCTGTCAGGACTAGAATTTGGGATTCAACAGTTCCATCTAACACTGGCTCTTCTGCTTTAGTTGCTAATGCACAAAAAACACTCTGCTTCAGATGTTTGTGACATTATAAACTAGCAGAAAGAGATCCCAATTCTTGAAGTTTAGGCTTCACAACAAACATAGGAGCTAACAATTTTCAGGGTTGGTTTATTTTTAAAAGTAAAACAGGAAAGGTCAGCAATTTTCCTTTCCAGCTTCCTCCTGCAGTCATAGCAGCAATAGAAGTTGAAGGGAAACCTTTG